GGGTGTAAGGACCAGGAGTCCGCTCGGAAACTCAGGCAGGCGCAGCTGCAGCGTTCCGGCCTTCCTGCGTTTCCAGGACGAGGCCGGCGGCAGCGGCGTGATGGGGACTGTGGGCATGGGGCTAGTGGACTGTCACTGCCACCTCTCCGACCCGGACTTTGACAGCGTATGTGAGAGCGAGGCGGGGCCCGTGGGAACGGGAAAACCCCCATGTTTCCCCCTTAGATTATTTTTGCTTCCCTCCATTAGAACGAAGGCCCCCGTTATTAGGCCCTTGTCTGTGGCCTTGGGATCTGGCGATGAGTCCCTACTTGACCTCAGTCATACCCATTTTTCTTTTGATTCAGTAGCCGGAAGCCAACTATCTCCACAAGGCTTTCGTTTGCTGTTGTCGGTTTCTGGAGTCCTTTTCCCTACCTCCTCTTGGAGGTTTATCCTACCGGCCTCGCACCGCCTGGCTGAAATGCCACTTGTACCAGAAGCTCAGGAAACACGAGCCCCCACCGAACACTCACCACCTGCCCCAGTTCTAAAGGGAGGGAGGAAAACAAAAAGAGAACACACAAAATCAGTTACAAAATCAATTCTAAATTGGAAATTGGAAGCTAGAGGTTTGTAAGAGAAGGAAGAAGGAGGATCCATTTCAGGAGAAATCTCTTGGGAGGTGCCACCTAAGACTGGGAAGACAAGGAGCCAGCAAAGCAAGGAGTGTCTAGGGGGTGGTTGCAGGCCCTCAGACAGGATAGAATTTTGGGATATTCCAATTGCCAAATGCTGGATAGAGCCTGATGAGCTAGAGAGAGGCATGAAACCAGCTGGAGAGGTTTGTAGGCGGTAGGTGAGACAGGTCAGTAGATATTTGGATTGTATTAGAAGCACTATGTCCCTCTATTAAACAACTTTCTTTTTCTTTTTCGTTTTGTTTTGTTTTGTTTTGTTTTGTTTTGTTTTGCCATGGGGTGGGTATACTCACCAGAGTGAGAGAGGGAGGAAGCACCCTCTCTTACAGGGTCTTACTTTGCAGCTTCTTCTCCATTTCTTTCTTTTGGTATTTTGGGCAGGCCAGTGCTGGCACATATTTCACTCCAATCCCATGTGTTTTTTCTCAAGCAGCTGGGTCAGGGAGTAGAATCTTGAAGTCAGCCATGTGGGATCCAGCTCCCTTAACCACAAGGCCACAGGCTGGCTCTTTCATTTTTTCTTTTCATTTCCTTTATTTCTTTTCTTTTCTTTTTTAAAGAAAGGAGGGACCAGATCTGATACCTTTTTTTTTTTTTTTTTGAGAGGTTTTTCACTATAGGGCGCGTGCGCTCGCCAGACAGACAGAAAGAGACATAGAGACAGAAAGTGAGAAATCACCCCCCAGAGGGAATGGCCACGCCGCAATCCCTTCTCCTCCATTCTCCTCTTGGGATCTTGGGCACGCACGCACACGCGCCCGGCATGGGTTTTTTTAAGCCACCAGGTCCAGGACGTGAACCGTGGTCGACTACGTGGGAGTCCAGCGACATAGCCATTACGCTAACTGCTGGTTCCCTAGATCTGATACCTTTTTTAAGACCACTGTGCTGCTTTGCGGCAAATGGATGGAGAAGAGAAGTGGAAGCTAGAAGACCAATTAAGAAGCTTTTGGAGTTCATAGACCAGATGGTGGCTGGTACTCCGAGGATAGCCAGGAGTAGAGAGAAGACAGTGCATTCAAAGTCTGTACTAGGTGAAGAATCTATATTACATGCTGACGAATTGGATATGGAGAGCAAGTGAAAGGGAAGAATCAAGGATAGCTCAAGTTTTTAGCTTGTGCTTTACAGAAAATGGTAATGCAGTTTACTGAGATGAGGGAAGACCAAGGTTTGAGGAGGTAGGCAGAAGGAATAAGTTTGTGGGAGAAAATAGAGATTTATGTTTGAGTCATGCCGGGAAACCTAATCCCACCCAAACAGAGATGCCAGATAGTCATTTTAAAATGTAAACCAGAGGTCCTGGAGACAGTTCTAAACTGGAGATAAAAACGGAGCGTGCAACGTAAGTGTGATATTTAAAACCACAAGAACAGATGAGATCACCTAAAACTAGTGCAGAGGGAAGCAGAAGTTCCTGAAGTCAGAAAGAGGAGGGAGAGCCAATCTAGGAGACTGAAAAGTAGCCACCAGTGAGAGAGTGGTGTTGCAGAAAACGAGAGTGGACAATATTTCAAGAAGGAAGGAGTAGGCAAGCGAGTGTTTCTGAATGCTGCTGTAGGATAGAGAGGAAGACAGAAATATTTGACCACTGAGATTTCTGTTTTAGTGCAGTGGGAACAGAAGCCAGACTTTCCTGAGAGTAAGAGTAATAAAGTGGGTCAGTGTGGGTTCTGCTCCTTGCCGCTGCTCTCCTTGCCATCACTGTCATTCTTTATGGTGCCTGTGCATTGATCTACACAGCTGAAGAGCATGTAATGACTCATCTGAACTCTTGTATAATAATTGCATATCTTCATTTAGGATCTGGATATTGTGTTGGAGAAAGCCAAGGCGGTAAGTCAATATCTGTAACTGCCCCATTTTTTTTGTGATTTTTTTTTGCTTTTCCTACTAATTTCAAGCTAAAACAACTTAAAATTTAGATATGCTATATTGATGTTGTTTCAGTACTTTTAGTGTTAATTTTTATGTGCCAACCACTGTGCTAAGTCCTTTCTGAATTTTATCTCATTGAATGTTTTACTACAGCCTTCTGAGGAAGTCACTATTTTATAGCTAAGTAGTGGTCTCCATTTTACAGATGAGAAAACTAAGGCCTAGAGAATAATAAACTAGTCCAAAGACAGATGCAAGTAAAGCGATAGGTTAATCTGAATTCACAATGTGTTCTCATAGCCATTGTGCTTATCAGTGCTACTGAACAGATTGTTTTTTTTAAAAAGAATTTATTATTATTATTATTATTAAATTTGCTACAGAGGATGTGCACTCATGAGAGAGAGAGAGAAAGTGAGAAAACAAGCCTCCAGGTCCGGGACTTGAACCACAGTCGGCCATGTGGGAGTCCAGCAACTTAACCACCACACCACCTGCTGGCCCCCAGATTGGTTCTTAAATTCACATTATTTTGAAGATCTTGGATATGTTATGAAAATGTTCTAAAATTCTCAGAAAAAAATTTTAATTTTGGGGAGTTTTTATGCAATTCATCATAACTAAAGTGTTATGGTCTTCCCAAAAAGTGAGAGCCAGCAATGGTTGACAGTACATTTTTACATACTGCCAATTTTCACCGTAGCAGATTAGTTAGGAGTGTGGGCTTTGGTATTGACACAGACCTAATGACCTTGGGCAGGTTATTTGACTCCATCTAAAACTCTATTCTCTGATCTATACAGTGGTCTACATCAATGCCTACCTCATAAGTTTGTTTATATTAAATGAGTACTATTTATATTCACTGAACAAAGGTCCTGAGACACAGCAAGTACTCCATTATGATAATATTGATAGAGCATGGCTGAACAAGAATAGCTAAAATGCACAGAAAACTTTAAAATTTAAATTGAAGGGCCAGCAGATGTTGTGGTGATTAAGAGCTGGAATCCCACATGACTGACATGGTTCAGGTCCCAGACCCAATTACTTGAAAGTCTCACTAGGCACATGTCTGTGCGTGCCCAAAATTCTGAGAGAAGAGAGGAGAAAGGATTGCAATGTGACCATCCCCCTGAGGAATGATTTCTCTCCTTCCCTCTCTCTGTATCTCTCTGTCTTTCTCCTCTCTGGCAAGTGCATGTGCCCTATGACCAAAAATAATAACAATAATAATAATACTAAAAGTGTGTATTATTTGGGACTCTAACTTTTTTTTTCCTCCCCAGGCCAATGTTATAGCCCTTGTGGCAGTTGCTGAACATTCGGGAGAATTTGAAAAGATTATGCAACTTTCAGAAAGGTGCTTCTTGAAATTAAGATTTGTAAAGAGTTATTTATAAGGATACAGTCATGATGTCAGATTCATAATATCAAAAAATCCATTTTTAAACAGAAAGAGGAAGAAAAAGCATGTTAACCTAGCTCTAAAAAGAGATTCTTTTCTACTTGTCCCTTTGAGTAATATTATAGTCTACTAGTCTATTTTTGTTTTATTTATTTATCGTACGATTTTAGGTATAATGGCTTTGTCCTGCCATGCTTGGGTGTTCACCCAGTTCAAGGACTTTCACCAGAAGACCAAAGAAGTGTCACATTAAAGGTAACAAGAACCATAAAAATGATAATGTCTTTTGACTCAGTAATTCTTCTCTTTCTAATTTATATTCTAGGAGGTAATACAAAAGATTCTTACTAAAAGATTATTGTTGCAATATTATTTGTAATAGAGAAAAAATGGAAATTGATTATAGGTATGGAAATAAAGGAATCGTTAGTTAAATTCTTGAAGAGTGTTAAATACAATGCATGTATATAAAGGATTATGAGGTTTATGGATGCATAGAAACATTTACAGTGTAATGTAAGGAGAAAAGAAGATACCACATGGTTTATTCATTCTGAATGACTTTCCTTTTCTGCAGAAAAAAATCACACACACACACACACACAGAAATGATAGTAATTGAGAAGATCTAGAGGACTTATGGATGATTTATTTTTTCAAAATTTTTTGTCTTGTGGTTATATTACTTTGGCAAAAAGAGTTAGAATGTCTAGCAAGAGAAAAATGGCAAATTCGTAGGTATGCTAGTGTAAGGGAACAGATGAATTCAAGTAGTTAGTATCTTCTTTGAACATGAAACCATCACTAAAGGAGTACTCTTGATCAATACAGTTGCATTGATTTTATACCTTCTCAAAAAAACCATCCAACCCACCAGGTCTCCCTGACTCATGACTCTTGGGCTCTATGTCTCATATTTCGTACTTGTGTCCTGACTCAGCACAGTTTCTTCGGTGCTTTATAGCACGATGGGTTTGTTTGCCCTGTTTCATCCATGCAGAGATTTCTACCAACAGGCATTCATCTAGTTAAGGAAACCCACATTTACTGAGCACCCCCTGTATGCCAGGCCCCACACTCAGCACTGCTGACCCATTTGTGAGTAAGAGCACTCTCATGGAAGTAATTGTAGATGAGGCAGATAGGAAACAATTACATGAATGGTAAAACTTTAGATAGCGAAAGTGCTGTAAAGACTGTAAGATAAGATTATGTGGCAGGAAGTGTGGATGCTGGATTTTAGATTGTATCATCAGGGAAAGCCTCTCTGAAGTGTGACATTCCAACCGAAATCTTAATGCTACGGAAGAATTGTCCATGCAAAGAGAAGATACAAGCATTGTAAACAAAGGAAAAAACAAAGCACAAAGATCGTAAGGTAGGAACAAAGATCCTAAGGTAGGAACAATCTTGACGTGGTCAAGAAATAGAAATGAGGCGGATGTGGCTGGCAAGAGTGGGGAAGAGATAGTGATGATGTCAGAGGAGCTGGGCAGAGATCACATGCAGGGCCTTATAGGATTTCAGTTTATATCTGATGGAAGATTCCAAGTGAAACATGATCATGCGATTTATTTTTTAATGGTGTGAAGAGTGAATTTTGAAGAAAGTAACAAAAGAAAAAAGGGAGTATAATAGTAAGAAGGCTATTGTGATCCTCCATGTGAGACACCATGGTGGATTGGACCACAGTAGTAACCATGGAGGCAAAGAGAAGTGGGTAGACTTGGCATATATCTGGCAGGAATGTGTTATTCATAGGACTATTTAACTTACAGAGGGAAATTAATACACCATCAATATATAGGTAATTCTTGATTCTCAAAGCAGATAAGAACTCATCAGATTTTGGGATAGCCCTTTGGAGTAGACCAGACAAAAGCAGTTAGCTCTATTTTGTTCCAATTGCATTTGTAGTCCATACCACAGTTTTATTTTCTTATATTTATTAAATTATAAACTCCTTTAAAGTATGCTGTATTTAGGGACCAGCAGACAGCATAGTGGTTACATCACTGGACTCTTACATGACTGGCCGAATCCTGGACCCAGTGGCTTGAATCTCATGCCAGGCATATATGTGTGTACATGTGCATGTGCGTGTGGCCAAAATCCCAAGGGAGAATGGAGGAGAAGGGATTGCAGCATGACCATCCCCCTGGGAGGGTGATTTCTCACTTTCTAGCTGTCTGTCTGTCTCTCTCTCTCTGTCTCTCCAGCCAGCACATGTGCCCTATAGCAAAAATCGCTCCCCCCAAAACACATACATACTATATACTAGAATATCTCCATTTCATCTGCCCACACCCTTATTCCAAGCCATTTTTTTCCTGGAACAAATGATTGCACATGGGACCCTGGCTGGGGTGTGTCCCTCAGCCCCCTTTTCTGCCAGGGACGCTGTGGGGAACTGGGACTGCTGTCCTTTGCACTGAGAAGCTTCCCCGTGGTCTTTTAACACTCTGCCCCACCCCATCATTTTGTGTGGCTTCACTCTAAGCAGTGTTTTGCATTCCTCGTGGTAAAGCACATATAACATGTAGCATCTTCACCTCTCTTATGTGTACAGTTCACATTCATACTGCGTTAAGAGCATTCACATTGTCGCACAACCGGCCTCTAGATCTCATCTTGTCGAACGGAGACTTTACCCCTTAAATAGCAGTTCCTCCTTTCTCCCCTCCCCAACCCCTGAAGAACACTGTTTTCCTTTCTGTTTCTGTGAATTTCTGTCTCTGACTTCTTTCTTTTGGCATGATGTGCTCAAGCTTCATCTATATTGTAGCAAGTGTCATTTTCCTTCCTTTAAAAAAAATTATTTAAAGAATTACTTTATTTATTTATTTATTTTAATTTGACCAGAGAAAGGACAGAGAGACAAAGTGAGAAAGCAAGCTGCCAGGTCTAGGACTCACACTGCAGTCGGCCATGTGGGAGTCTAGCGCCATTAACCACCACCTGCAGGCCCCCTATTTAACTTTATTTATTTTCATTTTCCTTCCTTTTTAAGGCTTTTTTTTAAAAAAAAATTCTCGACAGCGTGTACACCTGTTGGAGAGGGACAGAGAGAGAAGGAAAGTGAGGAAGCACCCCATAAAAAAAAAAAGAAAGAAAGGCTTTCTAAAAAAAGTAAGTTGTACTCTTTGCTACATCTTTAGAACCTTCCAGAACATATGTGACAAAGCTAGGTGTGTTGTAAACATTCATCAAATTAACTTGGCTTATAAAATAAATTGTCTAATAGCATGCAAATCTTTAAGCATATTCCTGAATTTGTTCATTCACTTAATAAATATCACCAGGCACAGTTTAGACACCAGGGATATGGTAATGAACCACAGTTCACTGGCCACAATCCACTGCCCCTCTGCAAAAAGGGTAGGTGCTCTCCTGTTGGCAACTGTCTCTCCTTGCCCCATTTCAGGCATTTCTGTTAAATGCCTAGCCCCTGTTTTAAAGGTTCTGAATATTAAACATTTTATTTAATAAACAAAATCAATTGTAATGATTTAAATCTTATTCAAAATAAATCCCTCCTGCCTCCCTCCTTTTTGTCCTTCCTTCCTTCCCCTTTCCCCTCCCTCCCTTCTCT